GTGCGACCCCCTCTGACATTTCCAAACTGTCCCTCGGGGTCTCCTCACAACCGCGCCGCCGCCGCCGCGCGGTCGGGCTCCCCCCGCTCGCACAACGCGCGCGAGAAAGGGGCAACTGCTCCAGGAAGGTGTGTCCGTCCGTCACGCGATTTGTGAGCGACTGAAAGGTGCTCCTGGAACTGCCCAAAGTCCTTCGTCCAATCCGTCTCCCCAGGAATAGAAGGTCCCTGACGGGAATTGGGAACAAATGCAGACACGGCCTGCAAAGGCCCGCGTCCAGTTTTGTCCCAGATTCTCCAAACGGACGAGTTATGGCGAAGAGCAGTGAATCCTTATTTGTCCTGAAGCGTCACACAGCGTCACACGATGTTACTTTGATCGTCATAAGTCGCCCTATTGCGTCCAGGAAGATCACTAAGTCCATTTCGTCCAGCCGGGATCAAGATCGTCCCTCAGGTCCATACGCGTCCAGCGTAGTCTAGCCCCGTCGCTTCTTGGACGCTACGCTACGTTTTATACGTCGTTCACAAAATGCGCTGTTCTCCGCAGCAGAGGTCAACTCCGACGTCATTCCCGTCAAATCCCTATACTCCTTACCCGTGACGGTCCTGGGCCTCGAGAGAGCGACGGATCCCAGCGAGTGCCTGCGCCGCGTGGCCTCCACGTTGTAGTAGCCGGGGCCGGGCGTCAAGTGCCTGGGCAGGGTGCTGGGCGCGGCGGCGGCGGGTCCGGGGGCGGTGGCACCGCCGCCGTGGTCACGCAGCCGCCCGGGCGACACGACGGGGCCCGGGGAGGCGAGCGGGCCGGGGGCGTCCAGCGAGCACAGGGTGTCGGCGGTGGGCGAGGGCGGCGCCACGTCCCCCGGCCGCGGCTGGCCCTGGGCGATCTGCTGCAGCGAGGCCGAGCTGCCGCCCACTGACCGGAGCAGCCAGCGGAAGCCCAGGCGGCGCGTCGGGCCCGCACCTGACCATGACAGGACCAACAAACTCTTTTGAGTGCTACACAAAAATAAAATTGAAAACAAAAAAAAAGAGTAGCAAAAGGTGAAGTTTTTGATGTGACGCTGACGGAAAACGCTCTGATAGAGCTGAAAATTTTCAAAATTTTCCGGAAAATAACGGAAAACTTCCAAAGTCTTTGAAATTTTCCATCCTACCCAGGAAAATTTCCGTTTTTCTCTCGAAATTTTTCAGAAATTATCCGGAAACTTTCCAGGGCATGAGATGTCAAAACGGAACCAGCAGTCTGAATGCGAGCCATCGGGGTATAATGATAAATACGTGTGGTGTCATCGAAAATAATCAAACTAAGGACATAGTGTACTACTACTTCTCATATCCCCCGGCTGCTTGCGTTCAACTTTTGTGTTCCACTTGACGTCTTCACCTCCGGCCCGGGACTCACTGAAAGACCTAACCCGGCCGCACCTGGCGTGCTAACCCCGCCCTGTGCCCGGGCTGCACGCGCGGGGCTGAGCCCGACGGCGCCAAACGCGACGCAATTCAAAAATCAATCTCCTCCCTCTCACCTTGCGATACGGCGCGGGGGCCCGCCTGGCCCGCGGCGCGCGGCCGCCTCCTCAGCAGCGGCAGCAGGGGCTTGGTGGG